TAGAAAGAATACTTTTTGAAATTACTACCCAGACTAAACAACCGTTATTAATGTTAACCACAAACACACTCACACGTTCATGAAATGTGTGTGTGTGTGTGTGTGTGTATCTGTGTGTGTGTGTGTTACATGACTTTCCAGAATGCAAGGAAATTATTGGTAAGGGCAAAGAAAAAATATATTCTTTTTTTTATAAAATATTACATTTAATTGACCTAATAGAGGTTATCAATACATAGACAGCACACTAATAGATGGAAAAAAATTAAGCTCGGCAATCTGTAAAATTGCAAAATATTACAAAGTATATCATGAAACAGAGAAGGGAGGCTGTGTCCAGTCGATACACAGGCATCACATTCTTAGAGATTCTTTCCCGGATGACAACGCCTGGTGAGGTATAGGTGTGATTTCAGTATCCAGAACAAAATAAAGGCTGACTCTGGTTCCATAAAGGGGAAGGAAGCTACTGGTAGGAGATAGCGGAAGGGACACCTTACGCTACTGGAGTCTGCCCTTGTCTATGGTGTGAGGAGCAGGAGGTCTGGCGTGAGTGTGGCCGGGTTTGTTACTCAGCAGCAGAGGGGCACTTAATACTTATTCTCACACCCAGATGTCGGGAATTTATTTCAGGCTTATGTAATTTCAGGTAAACATAGACTAGGAATGTATCACTGAAAATAAGTATACAGTATTGTATTCAATTATGTTTGGGTGCTTCCGTGTTCATCAAAGAAGTTCTTCAAAGGATTTTTTAGTTCTCGACGGCGGCGCGCTGTGACTGATCTGCTGATGCCCGTCTTCACCTCCCATCACCTCTTCCTTCGTCTCCCATTTTAGCTAGGCATACTTTGAGGCCGACGATGCCAAGACGTTCTGACATTATCTCTGGAGGAGTCCAAGCAGGTATCAGGATTGGCTGGTATTTTAGTTCAACGTCTCTTCCTACCATCGATAATCTTTTGTTCATCTTCCTCATTTACAAAGATTTATTTGGTTTATTACCTACTGAAGAGTGAAGGCGGTTCTTGTTCTACATATCATCTGGGAAAAAAAAGCTCAACGTAACATCTGGGTTCCAGGTCCGTCTCCTTCCACGACCTGTAAACTCTGGAGGTCAGACTGATGCAGTTTCAACATAAAAACTCTCTCGGTTAAGCGAAATTTTTCCCTAGAGGGACTGTCGAGTGTCCCCTGCTCTGAGAGCGTTCTCAACCTGCTGTTGAAATTCACCAGAGCTGTCAGACTCACGGGAGGATTTTTGATCGATCTTGGGAAAGCTTACAAAGCTTGAAGATCATCCTGCCTTTCCACTAATGAAATTAAAGTCAATGAGTAGAAATATCACTTTCCATGCTGTTGATGAGGAAACATATGAAGCCGCTTAGGGGAGATAAATTCTTCTGCATTGTATCCTTCCGCTGTCTTGGAACCATCAGGTACTGTTAGCAAGTTAGCCGACACGGGGCTGTGATAATCTTTTCTTATCACGAGTCTCGTTAGCTGATAGAATAGCATCAAATACTATGCTCTGTGAGATGTAACCATCGATAAGCTTTTCTGTCCTCGGTCTCATGTTCCTGTGGTTGGGATGGTTGGTAAAAGTTGGTCACTGGTCTGTTGCTCTGCGGAATGTCATGATTAGGGGATTTGGCCCTATTTCTGGTTTTTCTCCGGCACTGAGGAGCTGGATCGTGGTCTCTAGAGCTGTTGGACGCCCAGCTGGAGTGCAGCTGTGGCGTGACTCTGTGTTGAGGTAGCAAATCTCGGCACGCATCACAACAGGTACTTCCTCAGTGGGCTCTGAGCCTACTCAGGAAGAACTGTCTACTTGTAAGTCGCTGTTTCGTCGCCTCGAGGATGATCCAGTTTTGCATTTTCAGGAATGATCTCGTTTAGAATTTTTTTCCTGCATCTTGGATAGTTTCGCCCTCAACAGTTTCTGAGTTTCTTTTCAGAATACTCTTTGAAGCTTCAATAGGACTGTTGATAGGAGTCTTTGTGCATCTCAGGTTTCATCTGTTTCATCAGATGACTTTTTTGTGTTTATCTCGACCTTTTTTTCCTAGAAGAGTTTTGGAATCAATAAAATTCCTTCTTTTCTTTCTTTTCGAAGCTTTAGGCACCTCAACTTCCCTTCATATCTGCTGAGCCATTAGCTGATTACTTGTTTCCTGAAGAACTTGAACTTACCCGACTTCTTACATTTTTCGCGTCGCGCTTTAGAGGAGGTCTGATGCTTTCGTTGGTGCTGGGTCCTCCTCTGAAGGACTCGAGGGAGTTACTCCGTCTTCGAGGCCTTTAAAAGGCTTTCCACTTGTAGCCTGTAGGCTCCCCCATGGTTTTCATATACGATGACTTCACATGTTTGCAGAAAACTTTCATCACCTTTCTACTACTGAAGCTCTTCGTAGGCGTTGCTCTTCCAATCTTCCGAGGAAGATGAAGAGGATCTCTCAGTATGGGGAGGTAATGGGTGAAATTGAGGAGGCTGACTAGTGGACTGGAATAGGCGAGGGGGTGCTCTTTGTCACTATTTGGGGAGTGGAGTTGGGAAGAAGAACAAAGGGTGGGGTTCATATGCAATACTCGTGATATTTTTCCTGAAGTCTTCATTATCCTCGCAATTATATTCTTCATCCTCTTCATCATTATCATCATCTTTGGCCTGTTTCTCTAATGGCAGTGAGGCATAGGCCACCTGCGCTTCATATTCAGGAGTTCTTCCATCTAAATTCTTTCCTTACTCCGATTTCTCAATCCCAGGGTGTTCCCTTCACCACGACGGACGCGGGGTATCGTCTCAAAATCATCCGGCCCTCCTGGTCTTGGTTGCTTGGAGATGTCTGATTTTTGTCTGTCGTTATATTCTTCCTATCTGATTTCAGGCATGTTTCCTCTTTCTCTGAAGGTCCCTCCATTACCGGGTCACTTTCCATGTTTTCAACGTTGTCACTGCCCTTTAACTCAGTAACAGCGTGATGGATAAGTGACATGTTTGAATGTGTTTCCTCAGTGTCGTCTTTTTGATGAACCACGAAAGCTTTAGTCATTCGTCACTAACTTCTTTAACTGGCTTCGTAAGGGCGGCGAACACTCTTTTGAAAGAAGAATACTTGGTGAAGGTGACTTCTTTCTCTCGGTCGTACCTTTCTTCATGGTTAATGGGAGAAGTTTTCCTTGAGCTTATTTCTGATCGATTAAGGAGAGCACAGCGGGATTTTAGGCTGTTTATTTTGTATCGCGTTTCTGGGTAACCAACATCCTCCTTCTTGCTCCTCCAGCGACCTCATCGCCCAGTGACTTCATCCTTGCTCTGTATCGTCTTCGGCTTCACCAAATCATTCTCCAACGAAGCAGTCTTTGTCCTCTTCCTCGTGCCTATTGTCGTCTCAACTCTCCTTATCTTCTTTAGACTCTCGATTTTCTTCAGTTTGAAGACTCCGAATTCTCCACCAGATGGCAACATTAGTTCCTTCTTGGGTTCGTCGTCCTCCTGGTGCAAGGAGCTGGAGGCTACGTCATCTGAGACCTGGTAAAGGAGAAGAATCTAAGATAAATGTCATCATCTTGTATTTGTTCCCTCGCTGTTTACTTCTATATATGAGTACATTACGTTTTATGTTGTGCCCATGGTTAATTTACTGTACAGCTTGGTGGTTTAATACATGTCCATGTAACAGTTTCCGTCAGCATGAATCAAGCCAACATTAAAATAATTGGGCAATCTTTCAGAGGAATAGTTTCCATTCACTGGCATCCGCTTCTCGAAAAAAGGTGAACTAAGTTCATGGAGCGTATTTTTAATTTGGTAGCCTTTTGAGGTCACGTTTAAAGAAACTAAGGTACTCGTTGTTTCCCTTTTCCGTGTGATTTTGTCAAGATATATATATATATATATATATATATATACTATATATATATGTGTGTGTGTGTGTGTGTGTGTGTGTATGTGTGTGTGTGTGTGTGGATATATATATATATATATATATATATATATATATATATATATATATATATATATATATATATATATAAAGCATACCTCTTTCATTTTGATTCTCAACTTTCAGGGGTTTCACTTGACTTATGTTGGCTCCCATCAGCGGCCCAGCTATGGGTGCTCTGGGGACTTTCTTGAAGCAATCGGCAGGTTCGTCGTCGTCAAGTAGTCACTCTTCGTCAGAACTACGGACTGCTGGTCGTCCTGGTGAATTATATTCAGACTTCTCTGAAAAATTTGGGGAATTTTTAATTCAGGTGAGCTTTCCTTCATCATTATCGTTTATGTGATCAGAATTAAATAAGTTGTTGCACAGTGTTTTGTGCCACACCCTCCCAGCCAAACACTGTAGAATGTGTTTAGTGCCACACCCTCCTTGCGTAAACACTTGCTTAGAATGTGTTGGTGCCACACCCTCCTTATGCGGCACTGTAGAATGTGTTGGTGCCACACCCTCCTTAGCCAAACACTGCTGAATGTGTTGGTGCCACACCCTCATGATCCAAGCACTGTGGGAATGTGTTGGTGCACCCTCCCCAGCCAAACCTGTAGAATGTGTTGGGTTGCCACACCCTCCTTAATGTAAAACACTGTAGAGATGTGTTGGTGCCACACACACCTCATGACCAAACACTGTAGAATGTGTTGGTGCCACACCCTCGCCAGCCAAACACTGTAGAGATGTGTTGAATGCTTGCCTCATGATCAAACACTGTAGAATGTGTTGGTGCCACACCCTCTTAAGTCAAACACTGTAAAAGGGAATGTGTTTGGTGCCCTCCTTGATCAAACACTGTAGAATGTGTTGGTGCCACCCCTCACTTAATCAGCACTGTAGAATGTGTTGGTGCCCACTAATCCTCAGCGTAAGATATATATATATATATATATATATATATATATATATATATATATATATATATATATATATATATATATATGCCTTTTCAACCATTTGTAGACGATGCCACACCATGAAGAAGGTTTGGCACCTTTATAGTCTTGGTTTAATGGCAATTGTTAAAAAGGATGATGACTGAGGACCGTAACGAAGATCGTTTAAAAGTTAGAGGAAAATGATAATTCAACCCCCAAACCAGTCCTCAAGATCCTTCCATCAATGTCGGGGCGGAACTAGAGCGATAACTGACAGGTGTGGACCTAAGAAAAAAGAGTTAATAAAATGGTCTTAGTGTTGAAAGAATTAACAAACAAAACAAAACCGGACAATACAAATCAGGGAACATTAAGGAATTATTGTTTAGTGTTGTAGAGGCGCGAGGTTTGAAATGGCGGCTGCAAAGGATGAAATCACCCCCACACACACACAGCCATCAGCGTCAACAGGAAGTCATCCGATGATTTCTCTCTCCTTATCACCCCAGCTTCCTCGGGGGTGACGTATTCTATGTTCTGGCACTACGTGATGTTGGAGACAGGACGTTGTGTTGTGACTTTGAGTACATTTGTTCAACTGGTACACCCATCAGGCCCCATCAGGTTGTTTTGCAGTGAACAAAATCCCACCACCAGCATAATAACGTGGATAAATTCCAAATAGGTTAAGTTTATTAAATATTATAGGTTAGGTTAGGTTGGTTTGGGTAACATTCAAGCTTGCCTCTGATTCTTTATGTCACAATGCAGAATGAATTTTATTGTGTGCGCCAATTTCAAGGTAATATGAACCATACGTACAAAGAAAGAGTTATACGCCACTATATAATGTTTAGGGCATTGTAAAAATTAACAGAGATATGTAAGAAGTAGACAGAAAATAAAAACAAAGGATGCTTAACAAGGTGCGCTGCTTAAGATGCTTATTTAATATGCAACACAGATGTCACGTCTTTGACGATATGCGCAGCTGGAAAAATTAATTGCTCTGCTCTTGAGTAACTGTTGTGTGGCCGCGCACGGGTGCAGCATAGAGGGAACATCATCACTAACATCCCTGACCGAGGAAATGACCATACGGAATTCTCAAATTCTCGTAACTGGAGAACGTGTCATTAAAGATGTTTCTCCTATCTCCACTCAGATATGGAGGAACTTTTGAGATACAAAACTTAGAGATTCAAGTTTTATGTAACTACCATCATTCTCTAAGGTACAATTTACTTGCATGCAATTTTTTAAAGGTTTTGTAGTAAAATGCGGAAGCAGATGCAGCACATATACTCACATCGCGAAGGAAAAGTTGGTGAAGGCAGTACCAGGGTTTTGCCAACTGAAAAACTGCTTAGTGTTCAGAGAAGTGAAGCAATCGTGCATTCGGCAGCTCCATGTTATCAGAAAATTTAACATGAAAATTTCCTTCAAACTGGCAGAGGTGTGATAATGTAGCTGTTTCATTTCGTACTACGGAAATATGACAAGGACCACAAATAACTTCGAAATTATATGGAAACGCGACCGTAAAAGGGAGAGAAATAACCAAACGAAATTGGAGAGCAGAATCACACAAATCCTAAAAATTAAAAAAAATATCCAAACAATTCAGCTTCGTTGTCACTACGGGAGTCAGCTCATAAAGGGCGAACACGCATAGATAGATAGAGATGCCTGACAGTTCAAGAAGTGAGGTAGATTGTTGCCTGGGCAGTAACCCCTTGAGTGAGAGACCGCTTGGTCCTTGTACTCGAGGCGAATATGTTTCTTCACTTTTTGGAGCTGCATAATATAATATATATATTCTCGTACTCACAGCTGAAAGGAACATCAGTTGGATTCGAATTTGTTTTATTATATACAACTGTGTCTCTCAGTAAGGGTCCGATTCCAAGAGTTGACAATCATGTTGCTGTGAATCGTTCCATGTATAACGAACGATCTTTAGGAGAACAGAGTGTTTATTGATAGTTAGCCGGTGTAGTGGTTATATTACGCGTAGGCTTGCCTCCCTACTGCTCCTCACTATGGATATAGGCAGAGCCATAGAGTTCGGCCAAATCGGTTATAAGCTGGCGCCATGTTTGTTACTCAGCTGTTGAAGTTTGTGCTCGTACTGTAGAGGATGATGATTATGATGATTTATATTCAGTAAAATTATCAGACATGTTTAAGATTGAATAAACATGTTTATAAACTATGTGGGAGACAGCCCAAGAAGACTTCCCACCCGCCAAGTAACAGCAAGGCGCCCGGTTGGCCGAACTCTCTATGGCTCTGGAATATAAGTTGATTCTCCCCATCTTTCCTCCTCACATATATATCCTCACGATTGGGTGGTCTGAGGCGACAAATGACCCCGTAGAGTCAAGTGTGCCTTATATTGCTTGTCTGTTTGTCTGTCTAACCTTCTATATCGTTCTCACTATCTCTCCACTCACCGCTAGTTGTTTGGTAGCGCCGCACGAGCTGGTAATTTCAAGGGTGTTGTCAGAAGAGGAGAGCCTCTGGGGTCGCTGAAGGATATCCTCTAAGATCTTGAGCCACTTCTCCCTCTCCTCGCTCGTGTCCGCCGCCTCATGGAACACAAAACAAAATCAATAAGGGAGAGAGGAAAGGGGAAACCGGAATAAAAAGAAAATACAGATTAGGACAAGACGAAAGTACAATCTAATGACGAATCTTGACAATCAAGAAAAAAATTGCTTCTATTTCAAAGGAAAAATTTAAGTTTACTCAACTTGATCAAATCGACCATAGATCAAATCGACGAGAGATCATGTCTCAGGTGAGGAGTGAACACCTACTGGTTTAAGGCATAATTTCCTCTAGGACTTCTTCACCCCAGCCACTTCTACACACTTTCTCGCCCCGTCAACATTACCTCTCCACTCTAGTTACTCCGCACCTCAGCACCCCTGCACTCCCATCTCCTCCACTGCCTTCATATTGCTGTCCCCCCAGGCCTGCCATGACATCCTCTATCCCCCATCTCATCATCCTCCATATCCTCATGCACCTCCTCCTCATTCCTACCATCTTGTAGCTCCACACATTCTTCCCCGTCTCAATACTTCCTCACTATTTCATATATGCTTCCCTGTCACAAAACTCCTCCACTCCTACACATGTTAAATATCTAGTGACTCTACGGCGCTTCCTTCCTCAACACACCGCAACACTACCATCGCCCTTGCAACACATAACCACATTCCAAATATATTCAAATCCTCCATTGAATACTCCAATCCTCCTAGCAGCACATCCTATCTCACTCCTACACTCAAAATCCCACAATAACACCCTAACAACACTCTAGATCCCCCAAACACCCTCGCGATATATCAATCCCTTTTCAACACATCCCAACTACACTGTAACACACCCTCAAACTTTCAGGAACTCTCCCAGACACCCACGATCTATCCCCACAGCAATAAATTATACCCCCTAAAACACCTACCCCAGCAACACTTCATTCCCCCTAAAACACCTACAACACCCTCTCTCCCCAGCAATGCCACACAACACCCTCCCACCAACAACCCACATGGAGGGCTCACTAGATTCATGGAGGAGAGGTTCCGGCGCGAGAGATGAAAAGGAAAGTGAGTCTTCATTATCCCGGGTTTGGTGAGGCGGACGTTTTCAAGCAGGGCCAGGTCCAGCGAGCCTTTGAGCCCTGACAGCTTCTCGTAGTCATGCTGCGAGCGGTAGTACGTCAGTAGGCGGCCGTCCAGCACGAAGTAGTACCGCTTCCAGGAGCTGAATGGTCCCTGTGGGAAAAGGAGTAAGAGTGAGTAGGTGAAGGAGTGAATAGGGGAAGGAATGAGTAGCTGGAGGAGTGAGTAGGTGAAGAAGTGAGTAATTGGAGGAGTGAGTAGGTGACAGAGGGAGATGGTGAAAGGTAGAGGAGGTGGAGGAAGGAGTAGGTGAGGGGAATAGCCAGGGAAAGAGTGAGCAGGTGGAAGAGAGTTGTGAGAGGATAGTCGGACGAGAGGAGGAGTTTCTATAAGATAGTCATACTACTCACAATGATGTAATCTAAACCGGTTTAAGAATTCAGTGAAACGTAAACATGACAAAACACAAATTTCTCTCAACTTAACACATTAAATTGTAAATCACAAATAAAACTCATTACTGGAGAAAACAATTCTTGAGATCTTCAGAGTTGAAAAAATCCTCAGTGGTTTACGGTTGTACTAATATTGCTAAGATTCATTCCTATACGATACTGTTAACCTTAACTTTATAAATAATCCTTAAGTTTTAATACCAATTCACAGTGATCCTGAATTTAGTTATAACCTTTGATTGGCTATGAGAAAACACTGAGGTGACAAGAGGTGAAAGGTGACAAGAGGTGAAAGGATGACAAGAGGTGAAAGGTGACAAGAGGTGAAAGGTGACAAGAGGTGAAAGGATGACAAGAGGTGTAAGGTGACAAGAGGTGTAAGGTGACAAAAGGTGTAAGGTGACAAGAGGTGTAAGGTGACAAGAGGTGTAAGGTGAGAGGAGGTGTAATGTCACAAGAGGTGTAAGGTGACAAGAGGTGTAAGGTGACAAGAGGTGTAAGGTGACAAGAGGTGTAAGGTGAGAGGAGGTGTAATGTCACAAGAGGTGTAAGGTGACCAAAGGTGTAAGGTGACAAGAGGTGTAAGGTGACAAGAGGTGTAAGGTGAGAGGAGGTGTAATGTCACAAGAGGTGTAAGGTGACAAAAGGTGTAAGGTAACAAGAGGTGTAAGGTGACAAGAAGTGACTCCAGAATTTTCTCCATATCTCTTTCGTGATTAGTTGTTCGCTCCTTGTTCCTTAATTATGATGAAAAAAAAGTAACGTATGAAAATTTTAACATTTTTGTGGTGGAATTTCTGTCAGAGGATGTGGTGTGTGGCGTGTGCTAGTGACGCACAGGCTAACACCACTCGTAGGTGGGGGGGTAGCGGGCTACATGTACACACTAGCTCTTTCTATTGTTACTTAATCCTTACTTGCAAAGCCAGATAAATGCTCACCTCTCCCTGTACTTGACTGATAGATTAGTAACGATATAGCTTATTAACCGCCCCTGAGGGATATTATGTGGGGGTTGATTGTGTGTGCATAGTGTTGACTTTGTTGAAATGAAAGACTGTGTAGTGTTGTCATAAAATATATCTGTACTTCTCTTGATTACGTCAGTCTTAAGAATAGCAAAGTGTCTCCGTAACCCAAACAAATTGTGAGAAGCAAGTAACCATACGTCGCAATCCATTTGAGAGAGAGAGAGAGAGAGAGAGAGAGAGAGAGAGAGAGAGAGAGTATTTATTAAATTTGTAGTGTCGATTAATGGACTACTTAATCAGAAAACATGAATCTTTCGCCGTCAGTGAGGGAGTTAGTGAGTCAGTTGTTAATTCAAGTTTGATTGATTCAGTTTAGTCAAGAAAAATTAATAAGTGCACTTGGCAGTTACCACCGTCAGTGGGACACAGAGGTGCTGGCGAAGCGATAAATTATATGATCATCAAAGGCGGTATATTATTATTATTATTATTATTATTATTATTATTATTATTATTATTATTATTATTATTATTATTATTATTATTATTATTATTATTATTATTATTATTATTATTTATTTTTGTTATTATTACTAGGATTACCACACTTATGGGACCTCAATAAACCAAAACATTCGTATTATAAATATATTAGCGATTAACGTGTATTAATATTACAGAATACAAGACACTATTAATAAATATAATACATTGAATATTAAATTAATACTGAATACGATAATTGCACAGTTAATGAACGTCGGGTCTGGATTAGTACTTGGTTTTCATTGGTCAAATTAATGAAATTTTATTTTTTTTCGAGAGAATTTGAGTTAAATGAATAGATAAATTATACGCTAATAATATACTGAAATTTTATAGTTTTGATGACTAATGTGTGTGTGTGTGTGTGTGTGTGTGTGTGTGTGTGTGTGTGTGTGTGTGTGTGTGTGTGTGTGTGTGTGTGTGTGTGTGTGTGTGTGTGCGTGCGTGTGTGTGTGTGTGTGCGTGTGTGTGTGTGTGTGTGTGTGTGTGTGCGTGCGTGTGTGTGTGTGTGTGTGTGTGTGTGTGTGCGTGCGTGCGTGTGTGTGTGTGTGTGTGCGTGTGTGTGTGTGTGTGTGTGTGTGTGTGTGTGTGTGTGTGTGCGTGTGTGTGTGTGTGTGTGTGTGTGTGTGTGTGTGTGTGTGTGTGTGTGTGTGTGTGCGTGTGTGTGTGTGTGTGTGTGTGTGTGTGCGTGCGTGCGTGCGTGCGTGCGTGCGTGCGTGCGTGCGTGCGTGCGTGCGTGTGTGTGTGTGATTCCGGTGACGTTGTTGCACCACTGAGACACATCCTGAAATCTCTCCTCCCTAACTCTCCCTCTCACTACTGTTCTCTCTAGCTGGTGCCTCTCTCTCTCTCTCTCCTCTCTACTCTATCTCCCCTTTGAACACTATTTTTCATTCTCTCTCCCTAGCCCGTTCTCTCTCCTCTTTCTTTCTCAATCCATCCCTCACTACCCTTCTCCCACGGTCACTTCCATCTCCTCCTATCTCCCTCTCACTCTCCCTCCTATCCCCCACCCACCTTCCTTTCACCTCTCTCTCTCTCTTTTTTTCATTATTCCCTCTCTCTTTCACCCTTTTCCCTTTTATCTGTTTCTCTCTGCCCTTCTCTCTGTTTCTTTACCTCCCCGTTTCTCAATCTCCTCTTCCTTGAAATATTAACCATTTAAGTCGCGTTATTTCCATGTATGGTAAGAGGCAGATTATTCTGATTTGCGATGACACCACGTTGTTATTACTCTCCCTATCTTATCATTTCTTCCTCCACACTTCCTCTCTCTGTCTCTCTTAAGAGCTCTCTCTCTCTTTCCTCTTTGTCTCTTAGTATCTCCCCCTCTCTCTCCTTTTCTCCTCTGTCTGCCTGTCTGTTTGTCTGTCTGTTTCTTCTCTGTCTCTTACTATATCTCTGCCTTTCTCTGTCTTTTAAAATCTATCTCTCATAAGAAGCAGTGAAGGCCCGTGAGAATGTCATTAGTTGGGGGTCACAAGTTCTGTCAATATGACGGGGCGGTAAATATTGGTTAAGGAGTTAAAAACATTGACAGATACAATTGACAACAGCTTGACTGACGGAATAGTTAGACGAACAATTTAAATGGACGAATAGAAGATATATAAAAAAAAACAACCTAACCTAACCTAACCTAACCTAACTAACCTAACATACCATAACTTAACCTAACCTAACAGATACTGTGGACCATAATTATATCCTTGAGTACTTAGAGTGCTTACGTGTGTATGTGTGTGTGTGTGTGTGTGTGTGTGTGTGTATGTGTGTGTGTGTGTGTGTAAAGATTGATATAAAGTACACAAATGGAAGCGTAGGAATAATATCTTTTTTATTTAGATAATTTAATTATTCTTTACATCAGATACAACAATTCTCTGATACGTTTAATATCATGATAAGATCCCCTGTGTTTATGAGTGCTATGGACTCAGGTTAAAATGATCAACTTACTGTACTGTATATTGTCTTTCCCCTTATTGAAACATGTGATTTTTAGGATCAGATAAGAAGGGATTCCTCTAAGCGAAATTAACATGGGAGTAGTACATGAGGTAAGAGCACACATGGGGTAGTACATGAGGTAAGAGTACACATGGGGTAGTACATGAGGTAAGAGTACACATGGGAGTAGTACATGAGGTAAGAGTACACATGGGGTAGTACATGAGGTAAGAATACACATGGGGTAGTACATTAGGTAAGAGTACACATGAGGTAGTACATTAGGTAAGAGTACACATGGGGTAGTACATTAGGTAAGAGTACACATGGGGTAGTACATTAGGTGAGAGTACACATGGTGGTGGGTCTACAATCGAGCGGCTAAGAAAGGAATGTTTCATAATCATTGTTGTGAATTATGAGCGAGGAAAATATGCACGATGGGTGAAGCGGGTGTGTACTGTAAGTATTGTAAGTTGTAAACAAGAGTAATTCTTTGGTAATAATGACTAGTAACGTTGATAATAGTAAAGTAGAAGTTATATTTAGTATATATAAAAGCAACAATAAACTTATCTAAGCTACACTGAAGTCCAGGTGTACTATTGTAGCAATTTTTGATCTGGATAAGGCGGAAAATTAATGTGTTACAGAGACAGGTAGCTGAAGAGGCCGTATTATTTTACGATGATCGATAATTATAATGTATGGTAGATAACAAGTAAAAGATAATGGATAATATATAATGCAGAATCATTATAATCACTTAAGGTGCCAGCTATATGTCTAAGGGTTGGAGACCACGGCCCTCCACTTCACCCATCTTCATGAATTTTTTTTACCAATCCTGTCTGATTTTATATTACCTTCGGGATTAAAACTTTAAATTTCATTGATCAATTTCAGTCTGTGCCTTCTCCTGGCCTCCCTACCGCCAATTTTACCCAATAAGAACAACAACGAAAGTATTATCTATAAAGTGAATATTTGGTATTAGTTTTCACTGGTGTTTGTTGGACACAGAACATAGCCATGCCTAACTCCCTGCCTATCCCTTAACTACCTCGTAAGCTCATTATTTACGAACACTGCAACCTAATCTTACCATTAGATACAACTATCAAAATTCTAATATAATATCATTAATGCCTATAAATTTATCGTATTTTATCCAATTTATATATTTTCAAAATCCAATTCCACAAAACAGCAATAAAAAATTTCTAAACCTCTAAAGATTTTTCACTTAGTACTATCAAATAAAATAAACCTTCCCTATATTGATAATCTTTTCCTTTTCTCTATCTCTCTTGATCTCTCTATTTAATTATCTCTCTCTCTCTCTCTCTCTCTCTCTCTCTCGCAAGGATCCACACATCCCTGATATTGATACCATTGCCATCTCACTTGGTCACACCGCATCCTCTACCTCCCAAGATTCAGACCTCAGTGATTGTGACAGTAACAGTATTGCTTCTATTGAACCCAATGGCTGGTGTGGCACCAATGTTCTGAGCTGTGGGCCGCCCCCTACCACCCTCCGCTCTGTACCTGACGCCCCACCTGCTAAACAGCCGAATCAGCTGATTCTGCATTTCTCTAAGCATTCACACAAATACATCGCTGATCGGTTTAATTGGACGACAAAGTACTACAAACAACACGGGTTCACCCATAAATGGAACCGAAACTATGTCAAGCGTTTGACTCCTGAGGTCCATGAAACTCTTAGTACTATCGGGTATGGCGGGATTGTCCTCGTGCCTCCACCAGCTGACGCTGCTGATATCGAAGATGTACGTGAATATAATCCTCGTATAGTCGGTTTACGCCGACTCTATCGAGGGAATCACCGCAAGCCGCCGTCGGTGCTAAATGGAAAGGAGGGGGGGGGGGGTTAGTGCCCACCGACTGTAGAACCCTATGATCCCGGGACTGCTTTTTGTGTTGTCTGTTGCCATTGGGGTCCCACCATCGCCGCCTTCTGACCGATGTAATCGTCCTAGATGTCATTTCTATATTCACGTAACCATCATTCCGCCGTTTATGCTCAGAAAATCAGACACCACCGTGATAGGGGTGATGTGGGCCTGGTAGTTGGTTGAACCCAGGTGCTGCAATTGTCGTGGCCAGCACAATGCTGACTCCTGGCACTGCCCCAAACGTCCGTCTGTTCCTGGGGATAAGTCCCCTCACCCACCCCAAGGCCTCTTCACCCACCATCTCCCCAGCTGACCTCTGCCAGGCAACCCTGGTCTGCTGACTCCCCCACCTTCCTCTCTCCGCTCCGGGCCACGCCTGCCCTTCAACTTCCTGCAGCACGTCATCCTCCATCGTCACCTCCACCTCAACCCCACTCTGACGTTGGCCCATACCGATGACATGCACGTGGACTAAGTGTATCCGTCAGGAAGGACGTCCCCTATCAACCTCTCGACCTCTTCCTTGTCGCTGCAACTACCGACGCACACGTCATCACACTTACACTAAATGGTCTGTCCCTTAATATTGGCATTGCCTATGTGCCCCCTCCCTCCTCACTGTGTCTATCCTAACACAGCACAGTCCCCAGCCGTCACGAACGCCCCTTCCTCCTGACCAATATCCCTCCTCCTTCAGACAGGCCTGGTACTTGACATATTAGGGACTTGCCACGCCTTGCCATAAACAGATGAATATATAGGGAATTCTCCTGCGACATATTTATCCTGTTACTATATGTAATTTATTGACACAATCCATGGCCTTTCAGGCAATCATGAACTCCTCATGCTTCCCTGTTGGGCGCTGTAAACGCTTCTGCGCTTCGCCTTGCACAGGATGCAAGGGGGTGCCTAATAAACTAGCCCCTCGAGGGGCAAATCTGAAATCTGCAATTCTCTCTCTCTCTCTCTCTCTCTCTCTCTCTCTCTCTCTCTCTCTCTCTCTCTCTCTCCTTTCCTCCCTCTCAATGCCTCTCCCTCCTCCTCTCTTATTCTCTCTCCCTTCTTCCCTCCTTTCCTCTCTCTCTCCCTTCCTCCCTCCTTCCCTCTCTCTCTCTCTCTCTCTAAACCCCATTGTCTTAGTTGACAAGCATTTTATCTTAATCCTATACCTCCCACTCGCGTTTTTATTATCAATGTAGTGGATCACCTAGAGAATAGCCACCCCAGCTTATTTGACCTGAAGATTAACTACCCGAATGCTTCCTGGAATGTTTGTTATGTTATGTTAGGTTAGGTTAGGTTAAGTTAGGTTAGGTAAGATTAGGTTATGTTATGTTATGTTATGCGAAGTTATGTTATGTTAGGTTAGTTTAGATTAGGTTGGATTATATTAGATTTGTTTAAAGTAGGTTAAGTTAGTTGACGTTAAGGTAGGTTCGCTTTAGGTAAGTTAGGTTAGGTTAAGTCAAGTTAGGTTAATTTAGCGGTAGGATCATTTATCTAAAGTGAAATAGTTAGCCTAGATAAGCGTATCATAAGGCTCATGTTTATTTCAGGTAACAACACATAAATATAAAATAAACGTAATATAATATAATAGATAGTAAGGAATAGAGAATAAAAGACAAGAAACAATAGACAATAACAATAGATTATAGAGCATACAAGAGAGTCGATAACATATGATAAACAATAGCATAAAATAGATGATAGAAGAAAATAACACAATAAATAATGAATAGTAAGAGGCAATGGAACAAAGAATAAGGAGATATACGATAATAGGAAGGAGAGAAAGAGAGAGAGAAAGAGAGAGAGAGAGAGAGAGAGAGAGAGAGAGAGAGAGAGAGAGAGAGAGAGAGAGTAGACAAGAGCCTCGACTGCGTGAATTTGTAAACAATAGTATTAAGAGTGTTAGTTCAGCAGCCTTGGTAACACCCTACACCGTACTGCTTACTCTTGTGTTTGTATAAAAGAAGGTATTTCACAATTATATTCCTGTTGGTATATAATGTTTACAGATCTCCGACTGCCTGTGTTTGTCTTTGTTATGTTATGTTAGCTTAGGTTAAGTTCGATTAGGTTATGTGTATGGTGACGCAGTACGTTTATGTGTGTGTGTGTGTGTGTGTGTGTGTGTGTGGGTGTGTGTGGGTGTGTGTGGGTTTACCCAACTATAACATGTCGTCACGCTGGCCTTACACGGTGACAAGGGATCGACAACTTGAGGTGTTATTGTAAGTTTTGTGTTGAGTAATAATGTCACGTGCAGGGTAGCTGATCAGTCTGTGCTGTCGTTCAGGCCTGGTTCATTGTGTGTATGGTGAGCCAGAGTGTGTGTGTGTGTGTGTTTTATTAGGTGCAAGACAATTTTAAATAAGCATGATATAAATTGCATGAGTGATTCATTATTATTTTTTCTGAAATGCTTACTATAACCTAAACATTCCTAACCTAACCTAACCAAAACATTCCTAACCTAACCTAACCAAAACATTCCTAACCTAACCTAACCAAAACATTCCTAACCTAACCTAACCAAAACATTCCTAACCTAACCTAACCTGACCTAAACATTCCTAACCTAACCTGACCTAAACATTCCTAACCTAACCTGACCTAAACATTCCTAACCTAACCTAACCAAAACATTCCTAACCTAACCTAAACATTCCTAACCTAACCTGACCTAAACATTCCTAACCTAACCTAACCTAAACATTCCTAACCTAACCTAACCTAAACATTCCTAACCTAACCTGACCTAAACAATCCTCTCCACTCACCTTCTTAATGCAGAGAAACCCCTGTGATTTTACTTCCTTGCTCGCCTCCTTTTCTTTTGGTCTCTTTATTTCTTCCACTTCTTTCTTCCATTTGGTGCTTGGTGAATTTTTCATCTCTTTTTCCTTCTTTACTTTCTGTTCTTTCTTCTCCTTCTGTTCTTCTTTCTCTTTATGTTTCTTCTTGTCTTTATCTTCATTTTTCTCTTTACGTTTTTTCTTCTCTGTATCTTCCTTCTTCTCTTTATGTTCTGTCTTCTCCTTATGCTCCTTCTTCTCTGTATCTTCCTTCTTCTCTTTGTGTTCTGTCTTCTCCTTATGCTCCTTCTCTGTATCTTCCTTCTTCTCTTTGTGTTCTGGCTTCTCCTTATGCTCCTTCTCTGTATCTTCCTTCTTCTCTCTATGTTCTGTCTTCTCCTTATGCTCCTTCTTCTCTTTGTGTTCTGTCTTCTCCTTATGCTCCTTCTTCTCTTTGTGTTCTGTCTTCTCCTTATGCTCCTTCTTCTCTGTATCTTCCTTCTTCTCTTTGTGTTCTGTCTTCTCCTTATGCTCCTTCTTCTCTGTATCTTCCTTCTTCTCTTTGTGTTCTGTCTTCTCCTTATGCTCCTTCTTCTCTGTATCTTCCTTCTTTTCTTTATGTTTTGTCTTCTCCTTATGCTCCTTCTCTGTATCTTCCTTCTTCTCTTTGTGTTCTGTCTTCTCCTTATGCTCCTTCTCTGTATCTTCCTTCTTCTCTTTGTATTCTGTCTTCTTTTCTTCCTTCTGTTCTGTCTTCTCTTTTCCTTCCTTCTTCCCCATCTTTTCTGTCTTCTCTTTGTGATCTATTTTCTCTTTGTGTTCTTTCTTCTTTCTCTTATCTTTCTCACCATCTTTCTCTTCGTCCTCCTTTTCCTTTCTGTCTCTTTTCTCTCTTTTATCTTGTGTTTTCTCTTCTGTCCCGTCACCAATATCTTTAGAAGCTTTCTCCTCAATTTCGCTCTTGGTTTTATCTTTAACACCTCCCTCTTCTTTCTTCACCTTACTGTGTGGTTTTTCTTCCTTTTCTTTTAAACTTTCTTTCACCCTTTCCTTTTTTTTGACTCTCTTTTGGTTATCGTTTTCATGGTCCGAGTTACGGTGTTTTTCCTCCGTGTTTTCTTCACTGTCTTTCCTTCGTTCTTGGTTCCTGTCTTTCTTATGATATCCTCGTTTGTCAACGTTTGACTTCTCGTTTTTTTCCTTCACCTTGTCTTTGTTACTACTGTCATTAGATTTCTCCTCTTTTTCAGTGTTTTCCTTTTTATCGTCACTCTTTTCTTTCTTCTCTTTTTTGGCTATGTCTTCTTTCTCCTCTTTGCTCTCTCCAACTTCCTCGTCGTGTTTATGAGCTTCATCTCCTTTTTCCTTGTCTTCTGGAGATCTATCATCATTTTCTTTTTTGTTTTGTTCCATTTTTTCCATAAACTCTTTATTCTTTATCAGTTCCTCATCCTGCCTTTTCAAGAAGACCTGCAGGTTGCTCTTGAAAGTTGCCTCGTCAAGATTCGTTGAAGAATGTGGGGTCGTAGGCGTGTCAGGCGCCGAATCGACAGCAGGCGACGAGGATGAATCACATCCATCCTCCATCTTGACAATCTAGTGCGCTCTAGGACCTCTTGTGTTTACTATCGTCAGAGGGCGACTTTTTTGTTGTATGGGGATATTTAGGTTTACTCTTGTAAAGTTAATAACTGACACTAAAGTATAGGATGCCTATCAGTTTAATAGTTCAAAATCGTATTTTCTTAGTTTCAAATCAACACTCGACGTAATTGACGTAATTGTTCAAACTTACATTCCGAGATCCGATTTTGTTATTACAATTAATTCCACCAATAATTAGTTAACGCACATTGCTATAGCAATACGTAACT